CCGCGCGGCCCCGCCGGGAGCCCCTGCCTGTCCCAGGAGCAGGCTGCCTTGCTTTAATGTCCTGTGCAGTTCAGCCGGCCCCGAATCAGGCTTTTGTTCCCTCGAGGCTGCTTCGGAACTTTTCCCTCCCCGCATTGGAAGTGGGGGGCTCGGGAAGGCTCTTCCCGGACCTCAGGCCCAATCCTCTCCCCCTGGGGCAGGGCGGGAGGCCCCCGCGCCGCGGACCGCCGCCTCCGCCCCAGCTGCCCCGAACCCTCGCCTTCCCGAAACATCGTCTTCCTTTCGCTGTCAGGGTGGTCCTGCTAAGCATTGGATGCGCCTTGGAGAATTCTTCTCAGAAGATTTTTTTTCCCCTGCTGATCTTTGATTTGGCACGTTAGCTGGGGAAAGAAAAAAGGAAAGAATGAAAACAGAAAGGAAAAAAAAAATTAAGCACAGTCAAAAAAATCTTGTCAATGGGGGAAGAAGGAAAGCGGGTTAGGGCAGCCCTGTCTTTGTTAGTCGTCATCTGTTCTCGAAGGCACGCAGATCTGCGTTTAAGGAAGGAGAAGCTAAGTTCAGATGACAAGTGCAAAAACCATCTACACTCATTCTACCTTCCAGAATGTGACTAACGGATCAGGAGTACAGAGATTTTACATGGCTGTTCTTCACAGCCCACCCCACCAAGCAACAAGCCTCTCCTTTCTCCTGCAAGCTGGGCTGACCAATAGGTTGCTGATGTCAAAGCGGTGGTGTGTATGAGTCCCCCCTTTCCTCTCCTTTGTTATTAGACATAAAAATAGCAGGAATATGATGAATATCGGAAACTTACACCAGTCCACAAACACCACATAGTCTGACACCTGGTGATTAGGAACGCCTCTAGAATCATCCACGTCCCGATTCTCCCATTTCCAAAGAGTTTTTGTGAGGGTGGGGTAAGATTTTAAACAACTACCCACTCTCCACCCCTTAAAAGCTAGCAGGCACGCTTTCGTTAATTCCCAAGGTAAAACGTCTGCTTGTCTTGCTGCAAGCTTATTGCTTTATAATAATCTGTTAATGAAACAGAAAAAAACTGTAATAATTTGATCTCCAGACAGCAGCAAAATACCTCATCGCTGGGTGGTGAGATTGTGACATTCAGGGGAAGTCAAGCCAATCAGCATACAGATAATATAGGTTAATTTACATATTGTATTTCTATTGGACACATAGAAGTAAAATGTTTAAGGCTTAAAAATGAATACTTCACTGTCATGATGTCACACTGGTTACACAAAGACCAATGTTAGTAATGCCGAAATAATGTTAAGTGCCCTGATTTGATTGGAGACTTTCTTAGCCAATTAAAAAAATAATGATTAATCTAGTGTGTGTGTGTGTGTGTGTGTGTGTGTGTGTGTGTGTTCGTGTTCTTTGGATGTTCATAAGACACTTATTTTAGGCATTTCCTTTACTTAGGAGAGTCAACCCAGCAACAATACTGGAAGTAACTTGATGGTATTTCCACCCAAGTGTGACACCCCAGCTTTGGAGAACACGATTCGGAAGAACTCAAAAGTATATGATGGGAAAAAAACTTTTAAGTGAAATTTCAAACTTGTTTTTATGAAACTACAGATTAATTTTCTACTTCTGAAATTACATCTTAACGCATTTTGCAAAGAATGAGTTTTTAAGATTAAAAAATTCATAATAGAATAAGTGACTCGAGTAAGTTTGCTGAACGTCCACTGTTGACCAGACATCAGGTTGTCCAGACTGAAAAGTCTAAAAGCAAAGGGAAGCGGGAAAGTACTCTGGCAGCACAGAGAGCAACAACGCACTCCGGCAAGAAGCACAGAGCCAGAATCCAAGGGCTGAACTAGGCAATAGAAGAGCATACGAATATACAAGTTTTTGGTATTAACCTCCAGGTATATTAGAACTATTGTTCTTTTGCAATTGAGCTCAAATGCAGTTTTCCCCCAGCTGTTAGACGAGAATGTCATTCTCTTGCCTTGAAAGGAGCTCAAAAATTGATGGGAGAATTCTCAATTTAGTTCATTCACACTACAGGAGAAAACCTGGATTTTGCGTCTTTCAATAAGAGGTATTTTAAGGATATGTGTAATATCCCAACAAAGTTTCATATTATCAACAGGTTCTTAAACATATAGCTGCTGTGGCAGATTTATGTTTGCATTGTAGGGGGACTTGATCTCAGCTAATTTCTTTTTTGATTCCTTGTATCACCAAACCTAGAAAAAATTGATTTTCAGGTTAAGAATAAAGGAACAAAGCAAATGCAGCAAGTTGTTTTCTACCCTAATCCTTGGGTTTAAGGATTTTAAAGGTTTCCAGCATTTGACATATTACATTTAGTGTATTGATTTGTGTTTAGGAAGACTGGGGTAATTTGCTCAATTTGGTCTTTTTACTCAATATAGACAATTTTATTTGAAAAAGAAACTACCTTCTTTTTGGAGTTAACTAGTTTAGTTTTTTGTCCTATGATGCTCAGCCTCATTATGGTTTCAGTGGTTTTATTCTATGCATTGCTTATGTGCAAATTCATCAGAATTTTAATTTACAGAATGGGGTGCAATAAAATATTCTAAAATTGATATTTGTAGCATGAATAATAAAACCCAGAGACAGATATTGGGGTTCAAGCTGAAGACCAGAAAAGCAAAGCAGCCAGCCATTAGCGAGTTCTTGCCTCTACCAAGGCTGGGACAATCCTGTCCTCATTGTGACTGGAGACTGAATACACTCCTGTGTCCACCCACCTTATATTACTCTCTGGTTCTGGATTAAAGGAGTACACCACCACTGCCCAGCTTCTGTGGTTAGCTAGTGTGGCTGCTGAGATCAAAGGTGTGTGCCACTACTGCCTGGCCTGTATGGCTGACTAGTAAGTATGGCTAGCTTTGCACTCTGATCTTCAGGCAAATTTTATTTGTTAGGTAATAAACAAAATATCACCAGAGATACATAGTTTTTCATTTAAAATGTCACTTTTTTTCTGCATATAGCTTGTCATTAAAACTTTAGAAAACATGTAAATTTGGAGTTCTACACAATTTCTGAAATCTTTATTGACAAGAAAGGTTCCCATTGAACCCTTTTGCATAGAAACATTTTCTGATAGATTTTTAATATATTTTCTATTATTTCAAATTAGGAACAAGCTTTCTTCACATGTCAATCCCTTCTCCCTCTCCTTCTCCTCCCCCCCAACATCCCACCTGCCCCTAGCCATCCCCCCTCCACTCCCCAGGCAGGGTAAGACCCTCAAAAGGGGCTCTCCAAAGTCTACCACATCATCCTGATAGATTATT